CCTTACCTATGCTGTAGAATGTATTATCTTTTCAATTTACACACGGCATCTATTGCACGTCTGTCCGTCCTGGGAGAGGGATCCCTCCTCTGTTGCTCTCCCTGAGGTTTCTCCCATGTTCCCCTTTAAACTGTGGGTTGTCTCTGGAAGTTTTTCCTTGTACGATGTGAGGGTCTAAGGACAGAGGGTGTCGTATTGTCATACTGATATTGTGTACAAACTGTGAAGTCCACTGAGACAAATGTAACATTTTTGATATTGGGCTATATAAATAAACATTGATTGATTGATTGATTGATTGATTGATTGATCAATTGTCTAAAAACAGAGCAGAAAGCGAGAACATTTTCTCACTTCTGAATGACAAAGTAATCCCCATTTTTAAACTGCTGAATGTCTTTTAAATGTTAGCCATGTGTGATTGAATGGGTAGGGTGTTTTTTCAATGTTGAAAACCCACTGGTATATTTTTGTTTTATTTACAATAACTATTATTAGAACCTCTTCCTCAGTGGATGCAGTAAAAGCACAACATGTGAAGAAGTGATGATGACAGTGAGCTCCATAAATGGAAAGTGGCAGACTGAGAAAGCTGAGAGGGCAAAAGCAATTACTGACTAGCTAATGTTTCAATATGCAAGGTTTGGTTTTTATTCAATGAGATGAGCTACTGTAACAAACATGATTATGAATGATCTTTCTTTGAGTTTATTCTTCAAACCAAACCACTGTTTTCTGGTACTTTATCTTTGTGTGAAACCATCTACACAAGATGAACAGATGTCATGCATCATCACAAAAGCCACAGAAAAGGACTGTATCACTCTATCTCCCCCTCTTCAGTCTGCAAAACACAAGTTCACATATTCTTATGAACACACTTCCCTTCTTAACTTCTCTTTCACAGAAATGTTATCAGGCAGTCACTGCTGCTTCAGGCTAACAATAATAGTCATTATCTACTTCTGTAATCTGATAACAAAGTCACTTGTGAAATAAAGTATTAGCAGCTTTCAGTATCAATACCTTTGTACTGTAGTAACATTAACACATACAGCGTGAGTAGCAGGTATCGGAAGATTAAGATCAACAATTTGCCCCATCAGTAAATACAACACTCAACAAAGTGTTTTACATTAAGTTCTGCATATCGAGCGCAATATTAACTTGTATATGATGTATTTTTATGATTTTGAGATGGCTGCTGATTTTTATGCTTTTTTCAGTTCGCTTATGCTTAATCCGAACAGTTCTGGATCCCATTCTTTCACGTCATACTCAAACATTAACCCATAAGTGTAATCTCTAACACTTTTTTAGATTTTACCAACAAAACTGACTTTTACAGGAAAAATACTATCGAGGTACTTTAATGAGAAAAAGCATTGGTATTAGAAAAAAATGACTTTTAGTTGATGACCTTTAATTTGCAACAGTTGCTTAATGCAGTGTGTTCTTAACAATGTGTCTGAGCCGATGCACGTGTGTGTGAATGTCAGTGGAAGTGACAGACCGTGTGTGAGTATCTGCTTGAGTGAGTTGCGCATGGATGTGACGCAACATGACCCAGCCATAATCGCTGACCTCACCGCCAGCCAATGTGCCCTCCCCGAGCCACAGAGGAAAAGCGCTTAATCCTGCCTATGCACACACACACACACACACACACACACACACACACACACACACACACACACACACACACACACACACACACACACACACACACACACACACACACACACACACACACACACACACACACACACACACACACCTCATAAATACAATTTATACTACAAAGTATTCCAGGCATCCTATTACCACAACTATGATACTATAGTATGTGTAGTGTTTGCAAACTCTAACAAGAAACAAACAGGCAGAGATGTGTGTGGATTTACCTTTAAAGCATTTGTGAACATCTGTTTGTTTGTACGTGCATGGAGACAACATAATCCACATTGCTGCGTTACATTAAATTACCTGTTTTTTTTATTTGGGTTGTGTAGTCTGTGTTTTTGGGCCATCATTTGTTATCAGTTGTGCGAACAATGCACCTGAAGTGATTGCGACAGATGTGCGAACATATTGCTGCAACACATTTCAAATTGGAAAGGACAAATATTGATCAAATGAATGGAAAATAATATAAAAGGAAAACGATTAATCCAGATTAAAGAATATTTACGCAGCACTGAGGACACTGTGGCTGATGTTGACAACCGACAGTTTTAAAGTGGTTATATAATAGCTAGGATTTTTGAATCAAATGAAGTGAAGGGCTATACTGTAGGCACAAAACTGCAGAAAGTATATTGATTGATAGGGCAACAGATGTTTTGGGTAATAAGGAACGCTCGTCCTTCTTGCCTCATCCCAGATCTTACTAATGAACTTGATGAGAACAACATTACCATGACCTAAAGAAAACAATATCCCGAACTATAAAAATGAGAAGGAAGATGTTATAAACCATAATGGGTCTTTAACAGAAGGCACAGTGACTCATTTCTCTTTGCCTTTCTTTCACTATTGGCATGATGCGTGGGTGTAAGCGTGGGGGGTGGGGGGTGGGGGGTTTCAGGCAGGGAGAACATGCCTCTTGTGCGTGTCAAAAACACATTGGCTGCAACAGCACATTTCAGGATGTTGCACTGAGGGAGAGACCAATGTGATGCGTGCATTTCACAATATGAGACTGTATTCAGACAGGCCTTGTCGTTAAGTGTGAGAACTGTAAGTGAGAGAAGAATGTGTGTAACTGTGCTTTGCGAGAAAAGAGCAGTCGTCTATGTGTGTGTGTTTGTGTGATAATTGTGACCACGATGCAGACAAACACACACGGTCTCTCTGCCAGACAGCCTATGGGATGAAGAGTTTCACCCCTGCTGTTGCCGGGTTACTAGCTCCAGACCACTGCCAATATTGCCCTTCACACACACACGCACCCACACACACAAGATCCAATCGCCTGCTGAGAAGGGTTTTTAAGATCTTTCCTCAAATCAATCCTTTGTTTACAGAGAAGGGAGGGGAAGGGGCGTCGGAGCAATTCAGCCTGCATCCCCCGGGGAAAAGAGCCGCCCTATCAGTCTAGAACTGGCCCCGATGTGCACTTCATATCATCACTCAACCTTTTGACGCCTAGACACCCGCACACACACACAAACACACACAGTCTGCAACATGCTCACACACCAAGAGAGATGCCGTAAAGGATCAATTGAATTAATGTGCAAACACAAGCACATGTGACAGGCAAAGCAATCAACAGACAGAAATGCTTGGATTCAGCTACATGGCAGCAGGAACGCCATTAAACACACACACACACACTGATGACAATGAAAACAAATCTGCCGCAAATATTGCAGCACAGGTGGTGATATTTCAACATGAGTTTAACTGCTGGATGTGAACACACACACACACACACACACACACACACACACACACACACACACACACACACACACACACACACACACACACACACACACACACACACACACACACACACTCTTTGTACAGTCTCTTTCATTCCCCATTAGATTTGTCCGTATCTCTTGCCTAGTATCTAATAATAAAATGTATTTATATAGCATCTTTCAAACTGTAAAAAGTTGCTTTCTCGTAAAAACAGAACACAAAAAGTCTAATAAACACACAAAGATAATAAAATGAACTAAATATCAGCAAACTAAACTGTACTATAACACTATAAAATGCA